CAACGGCGCTAAAAGATTTGTTGGACAAAACCACGCCCCCATTTTTGCCGATAAAGAATTTCTATCACGCTTGATTTGGCGCGATGCCAACCCGTTCTTCAACTGCTGAAGCGAGTGAGCGAGATAAATTGGTGGAGAACTGGTTGGCGCCGCGCCAAACCCAGTCCCCCGAAACGACCCAGATCCGCAGCAGCAAACAAGGCTGTACTGCACCCATTTACGATTAAGAATATGGCACTGACGCAACGCTAGTGTGTTAGTGGGGCATGCTGTTAATACCTGTCAACATGCCGCTCATCTTGTTAAAACCTGTAAACTCCCGTAAAGTTACAAAATGCAACGGGGAAAACGGCCAACCAATTCTGCAGCGCAAAATTAGGATTTCGCTTTTTATGAGAAGTGATTCATCACCTCTTCTCCTTATCTTTTCTCTATTTTCTCCTCTTTCCCCATCCTGTGACCCAATAAACGAATCAAATTTGTTGTCGCTAGGCATGAGTGAGTTCCCTAGAAGAGTGACTTTACACTTCTGCGCAAAATAGCCCATTAAGTTGACAGAAATCAGCAAAAAGGCCCCACAACATTACACTAACGCTCAGGAAGAGTTCCAAGGGTAAACAAATGGTGAACCCTATTTAAACGCCCTTTAAATATGACCGATTTTGTAGGAAACTAAGTGCAAAGCACTACGCCAAAGTGCGAAACGGTAAAAACGTTTGCGCTGAATTTCGTGGCGCCTTTGCTGGCGCCTCGACGTCATTAACGCCACCATCAGCGCCGGCTGCGAACCCCCCTCTGCCCCATCATTCGCCTCGCCATATCTCTGCGAACGTGAGACGCGGGCGGAATAGTTCGCGGGGTCGTCAGCGGCGGTCACGTCAAACTGGCCGGCGCCAGGAGACATGGTGGGGTTTTTGCAGGCGCCTCGCCCGGCCCGAAAGCAGCCGACCGGCGCCGCGGCATCGGGCGCCAATCGATGTGTGTCGCCACGGCCTTGGCTTTGGCGCACACTGCGCTCAACGATACGACCAGGCGCCTAGTGGCGCGCGCCCTGCCACAACACCTCGACCGCTGTCATTGTCGTCTGGCGGCTTTGTGGACGCCAGTTCACCATAAATCTCATCTCTATCTTATCTTGTTCGATTTCCCATTCTTTTTCAACCGTTTGTTCTGTGATTGCGGACCGTACACTATGTCTGCCTTATTTTCATACCTTTCCATAAATCTCGCACCGAACCATCTTAAGACTCTCTCGCACTATGAAAACAGTCAGTTCCGCTGGAGCAGCAATACAACTAATTAGGTGGTGTCCCTGTGAACGGTCTCTTGAAGAAAAAACCTAGCGCTGGTCCACCCACCTGGTAGAGCCCTGCAAAGTCCACGAAGCCACGAAAAGCCACGATTTCCATTTTCACCTCACTTTTCAATCTTATTAATGTTGGACGGTATATAGAGATATAGGGTGAAAGAGAGGATTTTGAGCAAGATGAAGATTCCCGCCTAAGAAGAGGTCCAAAGAGTGGGGAGTAGTGTAGAAGATCGGGCAGAATACATCACTGCGATGTGGAAAGCCAACACAGTACTGCGAACCCGTGGTAAGATTTTCCACTTCACAGTCGACAACACTACTACACTGAACAAATGAAATTCAATACCCTCTCCCTCCCCCCAAATTTTCCTTACTGCTGTAGGCGGGGGATGGCACGGGATAAACACTGAATCCAAAAAAGGAAGAACTTTAAATATTTAATTATCTCCGAGAATCCCATACCCATTCCGACTAAGGCCGACCTCTCGTGGCTCAAGTGCGTTCCTCCCTGATGTGGATTCCATACAGGGGGCGGATGTTTTCGGCCGTGAAATTTTCTCGACTTTCCCTGTCCCAAGTACGCTATTTACCCTCCTCGACTGCAGTTTTTTTTGGAAAAAAAGTGGAGGAAATTCAGGGAAAAACTAGGGAAAAGCGGTAGGAAGTTGTGGAAATTCAGGACGATGGTAAACACGGACGCAGTTCGGCGACGGGGGGGGCATTTTGCACTTTCGTTGCTTCACTAGTTCCGGTTTACAAGTCTCACTCTGGTGAAACCTGTGAACTCTTGTGAAGCTGGAGCAAGCTCGTCAAGCCATCATGGTAAAACCTGTCAACTCGAGAAGAGGCTGTCTAGATGGGTCGACACGTCGATGGGAAGTAGCAAAAGTGCAAAATGCCCCCCCCCCCCCCGCCGCCGAACTGTGCCAAAAGTAGGATGAGGGATGAGCAAGGGGAGGGGTGGTCGTACGAGCGGAAGGGAGAAATTTTGAGGAGGGGTCGTATTTTGCCACTGGCAGAACGTCTCTCATTGCGTGGCTATCATGTAATCTTGTTTCGGCATGGGTAAGCCATTTCCCTTGTGTAGTCTTCCATTTCCTGAGGATAGGTCCACCTAAACAGGGTTACAGGTATTTATAGGACCTTGAAAAGGGCCAGACACATTTCCAGTGTTACAAAGCGGCCCGATATACTGGACTAACGCCAAGGACCCCCCCCCCCACAGTATTGTTCTCAAAATTAGCAACTTATTGGGACTCATAACATCTTCCAGTCACCAACTCATATCCGGCACCACTTATCTTCATTTATGGCCTGCGTGTTATAGAGACTAAAGATCGAGCGCCCGTGTGGCTGGCGCTCGTGAACAGATGGGGGTCACATGGCTGGCGCTCATCTGTTTCACCTGAAATTGTCCCTCAGCGGAGCGCCCCCCCCCCCGCCTCCAATTCGTCTAGGCTTTTTCCATTCACTCATGAACTTTCAGAAATGGCGGGATCTATTACGGCGTCATTAAGCTATACAAGGCTATTTTTTCAAGTCCTATAAATAAAGGGCCATTGAAAGTACTGTAAATTTCTACAAGGTCCCAAAGGAGATGAACGGTTTCCAAGAAAACGCGGACATTAACTTCAGCCCAAAAGACTCGGCTCGTCCCTCCTGGGGATTTTTTGCCCTCTTTAGGCTGGCTTAGGCAACATTCTTCCGGGAGATGGGCGATTCCACTGTGAGCTTGTCAGGTCACGCCACTCAGATCGCGCGCGACGAGTGGCGCGGCAGCTTCGAAGTTCCATTATCCTATCAATGAGTGTCGTTGAAGCAAGGGATTTGCATTATTTACCGTGCCCTCGACCAGCATTCCGTAGACAGACCGTCCATCTTGATCTCTTCAAAATTTGAACGAGCCACGGGACAGCACAACTCGTACGTAGCTGCTGCGGGGGTGCGGCTTCGCCAGCCACGCCCACCAGACATGGCAATGCCTCAGGACCGCGTCGTCACACACCCAAATCTTCCCCTGACTGACAATCGTTTCTTCGGACCTCCCTGAACCAAATACTCTCCAATCCAAAAAACCGATTTGACTTGGAAATCAAACTCTGAACATTTTTGTTCCCTTGCGGAACTTCACAACGGGACCTACTCGGACTCGCGCCGTAATGGCCCAGTATATTTACATTACTTCAGAAAATAGTCCGAAATTCTGGACCAGAGCCCTATTAAACTCTAAAACAACTGGAAACAGAACTCCGAATCACAGGGATCTAGGGGGACGTTCTTAAGCCATTCTCTCGGGCTACTGGACTACTTTCAATTTGAGGGCTTCCTAATCGATACTCAAAGCAGCAGTTATAAAGGTTTCAAAAGGTACTGCTGATCCTTTACTGCCCAGATTCCGGAAGTCAGGCTTTTTTTCACCTGGGGGAAGATTCGATAACAAATTCGTCCCTGGGCTGGTTTGATGGAGTGAATGCGAATAATGCTCTGAAAACACCGACACCTGGCACCTTGGCGATTTTCTCTTTACACGGTCGCCTCACGTTTTCTCCTCTAGTGTATGTCATTTTCGTGTTCAGGCACGGCCTGGTAGAGCTGGTACAACCCTCCGTTCTCTGAGCCCATCTTACCCACCCACAATTTCCGGGAACTTTACTTTCTTTTCTCCCGAAAAAATTTTGTCGAGCAGGAGAGTGGGTTTACTAAACTGGTCGACAAAACCGAAACAGATCTACACCGAAGATTTTCTCATGGCTCGAAAACTTAGTTTCAATAGGCAATACGACCCCCTCCCTTTAGCGAGCAAATTAGGATCTCCGCATGGGGATCGCCAATGCCATATACGACTGCTCAGATGAGAACATGGAGAAATGCGGCGGCATTTTTCTTCCCCCCCCCGCCCACCCTCTAGGAGTAATAGTTAGCTCGTAATTGTTACTATGGCAAAGCCTGTGAATTTACATACGTCTCATTACCCCAACCAGGGTACAGCGATCGCATGGTGAAATGGCGGTGGTAGTACCGACCCTCCCCCCAATTTCCTCTTCCAGAGCGACCCCCTCTCAATCAAACCTACCTCCTCATACCTGCCATTTTACCGTATTCTTCAAACTCTCCTCAATTTACCAGAACATCCAATATTTTCACCGCTTCATTCCTCACCTAAAAACCGTCGTCGAGCAGTGGGATAAATACAGCGCACATGAAGGAAAATCAACAACACGGGAGGGTTCCCTCACTGTTTTGAAGGAATACCACCCTTTCCCCAGCGTTGTAAAACGCCCTGATGCGAATCCTGCCACACGATGACGTGGCCTGCCAACGATAGTGGAACGACGCTATACTCTGTCTCCGTGACATAGTAAGGGGGGAGGAGTTGCGAACGCTCGCTCGCGCCTGCATATCCCTTCCCCTGATCAAGACTTGGGCTTGGTGAAAACTATGCCTTCAGTGCGGGATTATCTCAAGGCAACTCTGTTCGTCTGCGCTTCAACTCTAAGCTAGTCAACTGCGCTGGTCAACTGCGCTCCAAGCCTGGGCCTTTTTACGGAAGGGATAAATAAGCGCGGCCAAGTTCCCTCCACCCCCTCAGCTGCCTTGGCGCCCTGCTTCTTGATATCCTGCTATTGAAACAATTCCGCATTGCAACATACTATCACATATCCAAAGAGTAAAAAGTTTTTTTGCTTTGCAGATGACCGAGGAAAAAAGCGGGGAGACATTCCTAGGGCAACTACTGGATGAAGTCAATCAAACGAATGATAATTCTGACGAATTAAACGAAATCGGTGAAAATCTCAACATGGAAGGAGTGTTGAGCGTATTGAGTCAAGCTAACGACAGCCCTCTATCCGGCTTTGGCACAGATCGCTTCAAACGGCAGCGACGTGGAAATCGAATGAAGGTTGGCACGATTTTGCCCTTCGTTGTCGTTAGAAAGAACCAGATTACTAGATGACTCAAAGAAAATGCGCTCTAAGGCAGCGTTCAGACTTCGCGACGGCAGCGCTTCGGTCGCGCGTTCGACGCGATCGATGCGCATGCTTTCGACTGCATCGATCGCGTCGGAGGCGCGACCAAGCACTGCTGTCGCGGAGTTTGAATGCTGCCTAATGCAGTGAAGCTTCAAATGTCTACGAAGTTCTGCACTAAAACGCCTACTCTAGTAAGTCAGGACACATCTTGTCACGTTGTGGAAAATTTTTGTAGAAGAGGCCCCCTCTCTTGAATCCGCTTCTGGTTTGGCCCCCTTCCCATCCTACCCGTGTCGAGCGGAGGAGAGGGGGAGTAGACACCAATTCCCCCCGTGTGAGGCCCTAGTCGTAATAGCGCCCAAGATACCTACTCTTGGTTGTTTATAGAAGGAGTACGGTGAAGAACGGAAAGTTCGACACATCCAACCCAATCTTGACAATTTTGATAATAAAGACCACAAGATGCCGATGCTAACGAGGTTGAGCTGGGCCGCGCGACAGCGTTTGCGCGTCCCTTCCAATAACTCTAGGCCTACATATAGAGCGCAGTTGGTCATTGTCGCGCAGATGTTGTCCGCTCTATGGAGCAGTGTTCAGCTTCACGATGGCGTGCAACGCGCTACAATGCGCAAACAATGGCGCTCCAGCGAAATAAGGCATCGTTCACAATCTGGAACGCAGCGGTTCGGCGAAAAGCTTTTGATACGTATCGACTGGCGGTTGGGCGAAAGGGTTTTGACGGGCGTTTCGCCAAACCGCGACGTTTTTCGCCTTCGACGAAACGCTAGCTCGATCGCCCTGGCGTTTTTCGCCAGCGAAATCGATACGCATTTATTGCTTTTCGCCCAACCGCCGAACCGCGGCGGTTCGGCGAAACTAGCGGTTGGCGATTCTCCGATCGATGACTATTTTTTGCTTTTCTCCCGCCGTTTCGTCAGGGTCGCAGACTGTGAACACTGCCTAGAAGGAACGCAGCTATAGAAGGGTATTGATCGGTGTCAGCCGCTGGTGTTTAGAAAGTATAGGATTGTTGGAGGTACCGGGCTCCGTGATTAGGCATCCCTCACCCACCTGCACCCTCTCGCAACGTTAGCGACCAACCCCATCAACACTCGTCTATGGCCTCGACGGGTATTACGGTGAAGTCTGAACGCTGCCTGAGAATTTTCTGAGACTCTGACGATCTGCATTCTGAGCCTAAGCTCTGGTAAGGAAAGAAGGCAGAGACGCTGTCGCATGGGCCAGCTCAACTACGTTAGGCAGCGTTCAGACGGCTTCGCGACGGTCGCGCGATTCGACGATCGATGCGCATGCTTTCGACTGCATCGATCGCGTGAAAGCGCGACCGAAGCGCTGCCGTCACGAAGTCTGAACGCTGCCTCAGCATATGAGATGCCCTGAGATGCCATCGGAAAGTGAGATATCCCCGGAGACACGGCTGTCCCAGTTTCAAAACTCAGTGAGATAAGAATTTTGAAAAGTACACATTAGGAAAGCAATAGACCACAAGCTAATTATGAAGAAAAACAATTTTTGGAAAAGAAATTTGAAATTTCAATATTGGGAACTCCACAACCTTCGTAAGAAATAAACTGTGGGATTGTCCATAGAGCGCGCTATTTTTCAATGCCTCTAACTTTGTTACAAAATCTTGTTTGTGTCAATGAACTATTTATCATTCACCATATTAAGGTTTACGACAATGGATACATCTTCACGTACGATAAGGACTCGTCGTGCGGACAACGAAGTTTTTGGCGATGCGAGCGTAAAAATGAATGTCCGGCTCGGGTTCACACTAATCCGTTCACTAATCAGGTACGGCTATTTCCTGCATTTTATATGAATCTAAATTACTTACTATTTCGAAACTAAAGTACCAATCAAGCACATTAATTCGACAAAAAGGAACATTGATCCCAGGAGGAATCTGCCATTGTATTAGTTCTAAGTGTGAGAACGCCAAAGGTTTTCACTGTTCAGATTATAAAACGTATTCATGGACATTCTCACGAACCACCGAACACAGATGACCTTCCTCCGTGGGCACTTGTGAAGAACGAAGAGTCCAACACTCCGCCTCCGGGAGTTTGCTCGTAAGTGCTCTTTTGGCTCGGATTTTCAGTGAGATGAATTCTTTGCTGGGAACCCTATGTTTATAGAGCGCGACAAGCACCTTTTTATTACAACATCTCGTATTTTTTATAGATGTGATCCAGAAATCAGCCGGGGCGTGGCAGCTATGCGCGGGTTTAGGCGCGGCGCCAGCCCGTTTTTCATCCAACGTTACTGCTTTTCAGTGAGTGAGAATGGCGCTGGCGCCGCATCAAAACCCGCACTGACACGCCCCGACAAAGCCTTACAACAAGCACCCATCGTACTGAAATGGCATTTGTCTTTCTTTAACATGTTCTGGACCAGCGCCTATTTCACGGGGCCTGCGCATATGATCGCGACTTTCCAAGTCTGGCATGACACACCATGTGTGTGTCACGCAGTGCATAATGTGTTAAACTAAAGTAGGAAGGATGGATGAAAGCAGAGACCTGTTTAACACTTTACGCCAAGAAACGTGTACTTTTTATAGGCACACGGCTTCGGTTTCACCTCCTGACACTCGTGTGCTATTTCCTAGTCCTGTAACGCTAACGCCCAGTGCACCAGCTCGTCTAAATCCGAGTCAGCCGACTGAGCAGGTGGCCGAAGAGAAGCCATCAGTAGCAGCTGCAGCACAACCCGAAGAAAATGTGGCTGAACCGCCTCGGAAAAGGGCACGGAAACCGAGAAGTAAAGAGGTTGGTGCAAGTAAAGTCAAAGTGAATCACTGTCACAAATGTAGCTCAGACTTGGAGGTGTGGTTCAGGACAGCCGTGGCGCAGCATTTCGTGCAAATTGGTGGAGGGGGGGTATTCTTCAGCTTATTGACATGCAACTCTACGGTATTACCAGGTTGGAATCAACTGGATCTTTGTGCGAATTCCGCGCACGTGACACAGTTCGCGAAATCTCAAGGCGCGACTTGGGCGTTCTGAATTACACAATATTTTGCACATGTACGACCACCGGGACAAAATATTGCACTGGTTTCTTGGTTTTGGCACGGCGCCAGCTCGTTTTCGATCGACCATTGCGGCTTCGTTATTCAACGAAAAGTGGTAAGGGGGCTGGCGCTGCACTAAAACCCACGCCAAGTTGACACGCTACGACTAACTCCAGTAACAACGACTGTAAATTGCGGACTGGCCCCTCCCAAAGCACAGTACCTCGTAGCAACACGGATATACATTGGCAAGGCTCTGAATTGTGATTTCCAGGCTCCTGCCGATGTCGTATCCGTCAAGGGAGCTATTCCTGCAACATCCGACGGAATTTTGGGAGTTTTTCGAAGCCACTAGAAAAATGGTACATTTTCTGAAGGGCGATGAAGGGTAAGTAGATTTGAATTACGTTGATTTGAGCCACTGTAGCGCTTTTTCCACTCATGATTTTTCGATTTCAGACCTTCCACGGCAACATGCGTCACGTCCACGAATTCCGAATGTGATTCCGCAGTCGACAAGTTCCTTGAAAGTGTTAAGATGGGCAGATATAATCAATTTTTGCGAAGTAAGTTAAGTACTATTGATGCGCAATGCATAAATTCAGGATATCTGCCCCGGTATTGGGGTAATATGATTCGCTGCTACTGTAATTGATATGGGCCCACACGGCGGGCGATGAATTCCACTTCATTGTGCTCCCCATGGCTGAGTTTGCGCGGATTTTTCTGCACCTTACTCAGTCCAGGCTTAGGCAGCGTTCATACGACAGCAGCGGCGATCGTTGGTACATGGCAGAACGCTCCCGAAGGCCTATTACTTGGGGGCTTCGAAGCGCTTTTAGGGAAACCGACTCAATTTCATCAGCTAATTTTTTTCCTTCAACTCGAGTTTTCTCAGGACTTAAAGCTGGGCTTTGACACAAAGAAAGGTGAATCCAACTTAATGAGCTTTTGTTTTCTATTTTCTTTCTTGATTAGGATAAAAATGAGCAAGAAGCGTGACACTTCCATCTAGGTGGGTCTTTTTATTGTTCCTTTTTTCATTCGTCGAGCTTATACATGAGGTTATAACGTTTCACCTGTAGATGTTGCGTAAAATGATTAGTGTTTTGGTTCGCTAGTGAGTTTACTATCTGTTTCTTTTTCTTCGTTGCTTGAAACCGGACTTGTGAAACTATAATGTTTTGGAAGTTGGAAACAGTTCAGGACGATAGGAACATGTCCAAAGGCGCTTGTATGAATTGAAACAATAAAAACAAAAGAAACAAAAAGAAGCTCACCCAGGAAATGGAGTTGGCCTTATCCCGACCTAAAAAGAAGTGAAACCTCCTTACCTCATATTCCAGATCCGCTTATGTATAGAAAGTCGTAAGTTATCAGTTAGTAGCCATTATTAAGAGAAAAGAAGGTCACAAGTTGGATTCCCTTATTTATCAAGCGAGCGGTCCATAATAGCGTTGGGGCGCGCTCTGCCACGTACCGACGATCGCGGTCGCCGAGGTCGCCGCGATCGCCGCTGCTGTCGCGAAGTATGAACGCTGCCTTAGAAGGGCCCCCTCATTGCGCCATTTTCAGGCCCCATCATTTAATGTAGCACTCACGGTTGATCTATACACTGATCGTGTAGCTAGCTTGACTTAGCACAGCGCTTCAGCGACAAATCAATAGGTGTTTGCAGTTCACGTCCTGTACTGTTCATTTCACCACCTTATCCAAAAAATTGAATGGTTGTAATCTACTATCTTACGCATTGAAAAGCTTTCATTCACTTAGTGAAGTTCAAAACTTGAAATAGGAGAAAACGTTCGTCGATTGTCGGATATTCTTGAGACAAAGCCCTCAGATAGACGTTATAAGACGTAAGCTGCCACAACAGTCGATTTGACGCCAAAAAGCTCTGTCGGGTCAACTAGCTAGTAGTGCCAGCTGCTTCCTGCCAGTTTCGGATGCACGGCAGCGTTCAGACTTCGCCATGATGCGCGTCCACCACTGCAAGGGCGCTCCACATGCTTCAGACGGAAACACAGCCGCAGACCGGTATCTATCAACGCCGACCGCTTCTGTGTGTGAAAGGAATAGTAAAGGATGACAGAAGGGTAGGCGCTGCCCTTACACAGTCTTCTGGTACTCTCTCATTCTTCTATAATCCCTCAGAACACGGGCGGCCGGATACCCGCCTGTAGGCGTTCCCGTCTGTAGCATAGGAGCGCGATTGCAGTGAAAGCACGTCAAGCATCAAGCGAAGTCTAAGCGTATGGGAAAGGTATGTCCTACTATGCCTGGGGAAATTGATTGTTTCCTTTGAAAGGTTCTCAATGGATGTGCTGCGATCACTCAGTTTGGAAGAGCTATGGCGCCTTTGCAGAAATGAAGCGGATGCCATATGCATTTATCACTCGCTCAAGTTAAGGTAACTTTTGCCTACTATTTCTTTGGTTCTGGTTCCCTCAACGAATTGCATTTTCTGTCCATTTACATATGGAGTAGAAGACCTGAAGCTTCCAGATTTGCAATCTCGTCCGAAAGCCCAAGTACAGTCAGAGTTTTTGTACGCGAAATGCCGTCAAATACAGGAGATGAACCTATCTATCATATGGTTTTATTAAAGAGTCGGACCAAGGTAATGTCTCAACTTGTAGACCTTGTGACAGTGATCTATAAGGTCCTGTATTTGTTCTATTTGGTCACATTGTCACATTATTCAGGAAGAGTTTGTGTCACTCTTGGAGAAAAAAGGACTGATAGATACAACTGTTGTGGAACGATTTTGTGTGCTTGGCCCTGGAGGAATCCGAGTCGAGTTATCTGACGATGTAAGTGTACTGACCGAATTTATTGCAGTTTTCTACATGCCAAGTTAGTGCGAGTGCAGTCATGTCGCAGTCATTTAAAGACGAAGTGTACACCGATCCCCCAAAGCCGGCCTTTTCCATGTGCAGGGTGGATTTTCTGCAGTGGAGTACACTGACTCAAAAGTGCAAGAAAACGAGGCTAGAGGGTAGTGATACTTGACTGCCGTCTCCCACGCTATCCTTAGTGTGCAGCACTTGCGCTATAGAATTAGGGGATGGAGCACACTGCGTAATAATTACGTCTGCTCGTCTGCGCCCTACCACCGATAGTGCAATATTCACATCAACAGCCTTAACCTTACTGAGTGCCAGACGAATAGAGTGGACGAACTCTAATATTGCGCATCCCGTCAAAAGTTTAAGTAGTTGCAGCTCGTTTAGCAACTGTCTAGATATCCAGAGAGGGGCAGCGTTCGCGGCGACGAAGCAAAGTATAACATCCCCTGGCGCTAGTACTCCTTTTCTCCTCCTGATTCTGAACGGCTAAATTTCAGATCATATCATCGTGGAAGGACGAGTCTGTGCTTTCTGTGAATGTCGACAATGGTGTTTGTAAACTAGATACTGTGCCTCAGCCACATCTACCACCGAGCATTGTAGCGAAAGTCGAACCGGCATCCTAGGAAGCTTCACACATTCTGCTCGTTATACCAATTTTCCGTAGTGGTAACAAGCTGAACAAAATTCTGCCAGGTTCACGAAGGCTTAATTTATACTCATAAGCTTGCAGCCAGTAGCACTGTGGTGCTTGGAATTGAATAAAATACCCGTAAATGTCCAGGTGGTAGTTCAGCACGTCCGATTAGTGGTGAGAGTGCGGAAGAGGCGTTGCAAATGGTGTCATATGCACGGCATTCGCTCCAGGGACCCATTGGATGTGGCAAATCAGCTAGCTAGGAATTAAGTAAGATGCTAGTTTGCCTGCTATGCTGTAACTCGGATATTCTGAACTACATTCAACTGTTGACGCTAGCGGTGCTGAGCCGAGTGGCTGCAAGTTCGCTGAGTATGGACAACGTTTTGCTATTATTTCATCTGAAAGTATTCACTCTGCTCACCATTTTCTTGCCACCCCCTGCTGACATGCTGACGGTATTCATGCAAAAATGATCGATACTCAAAATGACTACCCTGCACATAAGGAGTTCACTGCTAGTTCATTCTTGCCAAAATCACTATGAATTTTTGTGTTCAGTGGTCATTATTATTACTCGGATATTGGTAAACACACAAAGTAATTGGTTGCCGTTTTCGTAGTATTTCGTGTTTCTATCTTGTATAACCAGTGCTTTAACTACAGCCTATTCATTTTACGCTTAATTTATTTTTAATTGTTTATGTGTTTGAATAAATTATTGATTGGGAAGGAGTGCTAGAGGTTGCATAGAAGTCAACAAAGACGGAGTTGAAGTGAAGGAGACAGGAGAAATTATGATCAGTACCGGTAAGCGCCTGAGTTGCTTCATATGTTGCTATTTCTGCACACTGAAGAGTGGGACGCTACGTTCACTTAGCGGCGACACGGCGTTGCTAGTGGTGTCATCTACCAGCGTTTTCCCTCGGACCTAACTGTTCTAATAGGGAAACTCTGCAGTACGAAGAAATAAGTAGCCCCGCCCATATGGAGACAAGAAATGCCACCAGTTTTCCTTTCTGGTCTCTTGCCTGAGGAACAGTTGAAATCGCCGCAATCGACCGGCTGGGCAGTGTCAGAAGGCCTGAAATGATCCCATCCGTGGTTGCTGTTGTTTTCTACCCGAGCCGAACATTGCTGGTTGAAGCGCAGCCGCGGCTGGGGTCAGTCCACGTCCCCGGACACCGCACCGTGGGATTGCAGCAATATCAACTGTGCAAACTACACAATTGCTAGCTAAACTTTGGTAACGTGTGCGTATATTGGACCACATCCCCTCTCAACAGCACTCGATGGGCGATTCTACGATTTGACACCTGCTATTTCACTAATCAATATGAAAACTCTATCCCGAGAGTGGAGAGGGCGTGACTGCGTATTTCATTGGAACAGGCCACAGTATCCTTTCTGCGTGGCATATTTCAATATGAAACAGCTATCATCTTGTCTTATGTTGATTGCAATCGTCCCAAAGGGAACGATCCAACCAGAAGAGCTGCCATCTCCACCAACAAGAGAAGCACGCAGCAACGCCCTCCGCAACCCGTAGATATGGTGTGAACCTGGATACGGTATCGGTGACTACTTGATAGGTAAAACACCTTCTCTATATTGCTGAGCACCATCCCACTCGCTGTCCCACAATTGCGCCAGGGCACATCATTAGTTGGGGATTTTGGTCGAGTTCATGCGACCCGTCCCCCCTTTTAAGGGGGGTTGCTTGACCCTCTCCCTGGTTCCCACCACATCGAGCTGTCGACAGGGAGTGGTGGGGAGGGGGGGAGG